TATATCCATAATGACCGAACAAGATTTGGCAGACATACTCGTGAATCTTTCCAAACCCCCATCAGTCAGTACCACACAAATAAACCCGCGAATCATGACCGAGAAGGACATTGAGGAAAAAATAAAAACAGTCTTAGAGACAAATTTTAGTAGCCTAGGAAAGAAAATGCTGAATCCATGCTCTTTATCGAAGTAACAATACTGTAGACGAATATTACCTGGCAGTTTATCAACACCTATAACTAGTTCTGAACCAAATTGGCAGCTTAGATGCCTCACAAGAAACTACAATCTCTGGCAGCCATTTACAGGGAAAAAACCTTGGACACTTTTGTCAGAGGCCCTAATGGAAACCTGGCACAATTACTAACCATTAAAAAACCACATGACTTAGGACACGCTCTACATTTATGCAGTCTGCTAGAGAACCAAAATACTAGGAATAACCGGACGACAAAAACGTATTCAGGGAGGGCACCCATGCTACCAGCCAAACCCCAACAACCATATCGGTTGGTAGCCGTCAAACAAAACTTCCATCCGCATCTCTACCATAATCCAAACCAACTACATTTAGTACCTGCGTCTGGAAAAACACCAATTACCCAAACTAATCAATTCAAATCCTACAGTCAGCAAACCATGCCGGTGCAGTAGCACCCCATAGCACCTATAGCACACCAAAATCTCCGCCACGACCACAGCCAGTCGTCGATCACTCAGTTCGCTCGCGTCATATAAATTATTATAAAGACCTCTCAGCGCCGCTAATGTCCCCAACAATAACAAGATGCCAAGACAGTTCCATATTCAACCAGAGCCAGAAAAAACAGCGCAGCAAAATTTATAGGAAGCTACATCAAGCTCAGAACAAGAGTATTAACAGTTAGTAGGAGAAAATAACGTAAACGAACTTCAAGAAGAATATGTATGGTAAAGCGATACCGAAGAACATAGATATGTCAGAACTTTATTTGTATTCCCTTGCAGAGGGTATTATAATTTCAGTCAGAAGTTTGCAACGCAGAAAAGGAGACGTTTCCGGCCCTATAAAGTATATATATTCTTGATCAGCATCACTACTAGGGTCGATCTAGCCATGTCCGTTCTCTTCATGAAACTTTCCCAAAAGTTGTCTTTCTATTGCAGGTAGTATATAAGTCGGAACGAGCCGGATCGGACGACTATATCATATAGCTCCCATACGAACAACCGGAAAAATAAATGAATAAAAATATAAATTGCTGTTCTCTAATCTGTTTTTTTAGTTCTTCGACATATAGTAATGGTTAAATATTTCAGAATTTCGGCTTAAATTTCATTAAACTCGGACGACTATATCATTTAGCTCCCATGAAAACAATAAAAATATATATATATTTTTAAATGTATCTTTTCTGTTTTGAAATTTTTTTTAAAATTCTTTTTGACTTATTATTAATTTGACAGTTCAGAACTACGCTTTTAATTTTATTAAAATCGGAAAATGATTTCATATAGCTGCCATAGAAACTATCGAATAACTAAACTGCAAATCATTATAGCCTCAATGTTTTTAAACATAAACGCAAGTAAATCATAATTTTAATGTTTTCAAGAATATTTAGTTTTTGCAATAGCTGCAAGGGTACATGAACTTCGACTTATCGAACTTTGCTTCCTTTCTTGTTTTTAATTTATTTTAAGTTTTTCGACATAAGTAATTGTTAAATATTTCAGAATTACGGCTAAAATTTAATTAAAATCGGACGACTATAACATAACAAAAAAATGTTAAAAATAAATTTTTTTTAAATGAAACTTTTATTTTGTAATTTTTTTTAGAAATGCTTTTTGATTATTTAATTATTTGACAGTTCAGAATTACGCTTTTAATTTTTATTAAAATCGGAAAATGATATCATATATCTGCCATAGAAACACAAAAAATTGAGCTGCAAATCATCATAGCTTCAAAGCTTTTACACATACACGCAAGTAAATCATAATTTTAATGTCTTCAAGAATATTAAATAGCTGCAAGGGTATATGAATTTCGGCTTGGCGAAGTTTGCTTTCTTTCTTGCTTAGAATAACTGGCTTACTCTAATGTAACCACGGGGAACGGAAAAATTCTAAAATTCTTTATCGACACGGGCTCAAATCAAAATTATATTTAAAACCAATTGGTACCAAAACCAAAGCCAAATGAGATCACTTTTTTAGTTAGTTCAGTGGGAGGAGACGTTAAAAAAAACACAACACGCAATACTTAAGCTCGCTAATATTTCGGATACACTCATGAAAACACTCTGAAAAACCTTCCACGGTATTTTGAGCAATGACACAATGAAAAGCCTAGAAGCAAAAATAGATGTGAAAAATTATATATTAATTTTTGGAAATAAACACAAAATTAAAATTCATCAATTAGCGACACAAGCAGTAAATACAATTGTACCGCAAGTCAGTCATATGACCTATTCACAGAGATCAATAATAAAACTCCTCGTACAAAGTCACAAAACAAAACTTTGCAAACACCGATACAAAGTTAGCATACACAGCTAAAGTAGTAGGTGATATCAGAACTTCATCAGATTCCCCAGTTTACGGAAAACATTACCTATACCCAGTATCACTTAAACAGGAAGTAAATAAATAAACAACAGAGATGGTATTATATGACCTTCAAGGTCACCATATAATGCACCAGTCTGGGTAGTTCCGAAAAAATCCGGTCAGTCCGAAAAAAAGTACAGAAAAAAGATTTTAGCTCGGTACCCCATTCCCGAAATTGGAGAAATTATTGCACAGCTTTTCAGTATTAGATCTTAAAAGTGGTTTTCACCAAATACCATTGAAAGATACGGACAAAGAAAAAACAGAATTCGCGGTAAATGTCGGAAAATATAAATTTACGAGAATCCCATTCAATTTGAAAAATTCCCCATCCATTTTTATACCCTTGCAGAGGGTATTATAATTTCAGTCAGAAGTTTGCAACGCAGTGAAGGAGACATCTCCGACCCTATAAAGTATATATATTCTTGATCTTGTCCGTCTGTCCGTCCGTCTGTCTGTCTGTCCGTCCGTCTGTCTGTCTGTCCGTCCGTTTCTACGCAAACTAGTCTCTCAGTTTTAAAGCTATCTGCATGAAACTTTCCCAAAAGTTGTCTTTCTATTGCAGGTAGTATATAAGTCGGAACGAGCTGGATCGGACGACTATAGCATATAGCTCCCATAGGAACAAACGGAAAAATAAATCTAAAAAAATTATAACTTTGGTGTTTTCTAATTTTTCTTCTTTTCTTCTTCGAGATATAGTAATGGTTAAATATTTCAGAATTACGGTTTAAATTTCATCAAAATCGGACGACTATATCATATAGCTCCCATACGAACAATCATAAAAAAAATAAAAAAATATTATAACTTTATTGTTTTTTAATTTTTTTTTAGTTCTTCGAGATATAGTAATGGTTAAATATTTCAGAATTACGGTTTAAATTTCATCAAAATCGGACGACTATAGCATATAGCTCCCATAGGAACAATCGTATAGCTGCCATAGGAACTATCAAATAATTAAGCTGCAAATCATTATAGCTTCAATGTTTTTAAACATACACGCAAGTAAATCATAATTTTAACGATTTCAAGAGTATTTAGTTTTTGAAATAGCTGCAATGGTATATGAACATCGGCTTGCCGAAGTTTGCTTGCTTTCTTGTTCAAAGAGCTTTAGATGACATATTGGGAGATACCATAGGGAAAATTTCCTATGTATACGTAGGCGACGTTATAGTCTTTAGCAAAACTGAAGTAGAGCACGACCAAAATTTGGAAAGAGTATTTTCAAAGCTACAAAACGCAAATATGAGGGTCCACATAGAGAAATGCTATTTTTTCAAAAACGAAGTAGATTGCTTGGGGTACACAATATCAGAAAATGGAGTAAAACCAAACATAGACAACAAAAAAAGCGATTACAAAATTTCTAGTTCCAAAAACATTAACAAATCTCCGTTCCGATTTGGGCATGACAGGTTATTATAGGCGGAAATTTGCAAAACCCCGAACCATTTTCTAAGAGGCGAAGAAGGCCGTATTTATAAGACCAAGTCAAGCAGAACTGCTATTAACTTTAGCAAAGACCCGATTACAGCATTCGAGAAACTAAAAAATACTCTCATCTCCAGGGAGGTTACCTCTGCCTGTCCAGATTTCGGACTTCAAGTTACGCAAGAGACGCAGTATTGGAACAAAATCAGAGGCCTATAACGTTAATTTCGCGCACCCTATCAAAAACTAAAGAGTGGTAATATACACGGGTCACCAACCATTGAGTTTTTCCATTAGTATTAACCATATTAGTAAATAACCATAAGGCTAAGCTTAAATGCTGGAGAGACCTCATTGGCGAGTATAACCACGAGACCCGGCACAAGCCCGGAGTAGCTAGTTTGGTAGCGGACGCGTTTTCCGGGCCACCGCGAAAATAAATTCAATCAGCTCCTCAGCATCAGCCCATAGCGACGAAAGCTCGTCACACAACCTCATATTTTCGGTAGAAGCCCCAGTTACCGTATTTAAAAACCAATTATTTTTACTGACTGCCTACACAGATTCCTATAGTTTCGAAATCCAATTCCTAACATACCACAGACACATAATTTAACAAAAATCTTACACAAAAGAAATACTTATGATATAGCCATTTTAACTAGTAGACATCCGAAGAGGCAATGGGAAAAATTTAAAACATTTACCCTACCTATTTTAAATCAAAAAAATAAAGTTTACTCAAAACGAAATAGACAACGTAACTTCAGAGTCCCAACAAAACGAAATAATTACCCTCGAACATAAACGAGCCCATAGAGGTGCAAAAGAGGAGCAAATTACAAATTTTGAAGAATTATTTTTTTTCCACAAGTTACAAAGAAATCCAAGCAATAGTTCAAGCCTGTCAAACTTGTAAAGAATCAAAATACGATAGACAACAAAGAAACTAAAATAGTGGAAGAAATTTTTAAAAAAGAAAATAACTTTTTTTTACATAGAAGAATAATTGCGTAAGCGCTCTCTTGAACCTTCGAGAACCAGAATGTTAGATGATCAACAATCAACAACTTCAATCAACTAGATGAAAAACTTCTACAACTGCAAGGCTCTTTTATATTACAATACCGAAGAAAAGACGAAGTTTAGAGGAAGTTCTCTTACTTCAAATGGTCAAGGAACTCAACAATAATAACACAAAAGCGATGAAAAATTAAGAAGCAAGGCAACCATAGAATCTTCCGTTAGCAACGGATCCGCCATCATCCTACTACTACTCATAATAGGACCGATCATGGAACTCCTACAAAGACGTAGGTCAACAGAAAGTGCACCAGCTTCCGTGCCAGAAACGCAAGAAAAGCCCACGAATTTCGGACCTGTACTCTACTATGTTGTTACCGAGGACAGCCGCGTTTAAGGAGGGAAGAGTTCACACCCAAAATAATACAAATTCCCAGACAGAAGAAAAGAGTAAGTATTGATTGCACAGCAAACAGCAATGCTCAATAAAGTTCAAACGAATTTAGTCTTCCGTTGGAGCGGTGCGTACAAAACAGGCGTTGTACCAGGCGTTGAACCAAGCGTTGAACCAGACGTTGAACCAGGCGTTGAACCGGGCGTTGAACCAGTCGTTTACCCAGACGTTGAACCTTGAGTTGAGCCTGGAGTTCAACCATGCGTTAAACCAGGTTAAATCAGCCATATCCGTCTATCCGTTTCTACGCAAACTAGTCTCTCAGTTTTAAAAATAACTGCTGAAATTTTCTTAAAAATTAGCTGTTTTTTAACCTTAGGATCTTCAAAATATAGTCATGGTATATTATTTTAAAATTACGCGTCAAATTTGAATAAAATCGGACGACTGTATCTTATAGCTCCCGTGGGAACGGTCTAATAATTTAATTGATGATTTCAATATAGCTGCAATGCTTTTAAACAAATACTAAACGTATATTATATGATATTTAGATGTTTTAAAGAATATTTAATTTCTCCTATATTTGCAAGGGTATATAAACTTCAATTTATTTTTTCCGTCAATGGATTTACTCTTTATCTGGCTTTTGGGTTACAACTAAAACCGATGCGCAAGTTTTATCAGAGGATTCGCACAAACTGTAGTGGCGAAATCGATCAATAGCATTTGATGTTTAGCAATTAACCAGACGAGGCTTCTATTTGTATTCTTAATTGTGGTGCCCAACGAGATTGTCCTGATCAAAGTATCACAAAATTAAAATGGGGAAGGGATGGATAAGGACCATCAACAAGGAGGAATACGGCGATGTGGCGGCCAAGCTGGGCATCAAACCAACCGGAACCGTGAAAAACATGCTGAAAAACGTTTTCGGATTTTGGAGACGAGAAGACAACTAGAGTTCCTGGAGCAGGTAGAGTGGTGTTTAATAACCTATGGAATGAACATCAACCAAATTCGCAGGTAGATATGCAAACCCTGATACATTCGTCCCTACGAATGGAAGAATGGAAGAAGAACTTGGACACCGTTTTAACACTGGCAGACGAATTCGAGGAACTAAATCAGCAGAGAAAGGAAATCCAGTGGGAAAAATTACCAAAAATTCCGAAACTGCAAGGCGTGATACGCTGCAACGAACTGATTTTGTTCAATCTGCGCGCAACGAATATCGTGCGGCTGGCTCAGAAAATGTATGTGTTCGTCCCACCAAATTTATATAAACGTGACTGCCATCAAAAACCGATCTTTATTCGTCGACTTGACCCTCGACCTGGGACGGATAATGACAAATAGGTAAAGTTATCGCCTTCTTCACCGATCCCGGATGAACACTCTCCTTCCCTCGTTGATTCTCTAGGTGGCTCTGACGTTGACACATCGGGATGCTTGTGTTTCCTTCTGATGCCGTTGGCTTGGCGGCTATCAGGGCTTAGGGATGCTTCACCGGTCTCAGACTATGGTAAGCAGGCACTGTTCTCCCAGGGCACTCCTTTCGCAGCCGCAGCCTCCTGTCCCTTGCTCTGCCCCGACCACTCGCGTCGAATGCTCAATTTTTACCTGACGGCTTAGGCGAACGCCGGAAGTCTGATCCAAACGCTATTTTCTAGCTTTAACCATACAACATATAGACTGGTCATTTCATATAACGAATTCGGACACAAAAAAATTGAAAGGGGGAGGCCCCCGGGCTCTCAGCAGCAGACCTCTGCACTTCGTGTGCATTCGGGTTTTTTGCTCTCTCATTTTTATGTTCGCGCACCCAATGCACGAGTTCAGTCGTTCAGTCGCAGAGAGGCGCTTTTTGAAGAAGGCTGCTCTGCGCTTGAATTGGTCTTTGTATGTATGCGTGATCATGCATTCTCATACACGGGAGCATGTGTGCGTTTATTTCATTTCGGCGCATCAAGAATATTTTGTCTTTTGCCACTTTTCAGACTTGGTACCCTAAGAATATGGGCGTATTTACTATTGGGTTATGATAAAAATATGAATATTATATGCTAAAATATATTTTACAATATTTCAGCATACATTTTATTTTGGTTTATAAATTCAAATCAGTGGTTGCAGTAAAATGTTTTACATATATGTATGTATTCGAATTAATTGAAAACAGTCCACTGAGATGGGAATAGGGCTGATCGCAGTCGTGTCACTTAAATATCCGACTGCTCTTCAGTGGTTGAAAAAACTTTAAACTAAATCAGCTCGCGGGTATCTGGTCCTGCTCCTTGCTGGTTCGTGCAGGACCAGACGCAGCGCGGTCTTTGGCTCTCGGTATTCGGTCAACTGCCGCTCTCGGACTCTGGCGGTGAACTACTGGGTTCTCAACGCATACGCCTTATGAGACGTCAGCCGATCAAACACGAGTCCTACTTGGCTAGTCACACCAGGACCTGTACACCTTTCGCAGGGCGATCTGGCATACGCCTGACTTTGCCAATACGATCATTGTAGCAAGGCAGATAGCTCTTGAAAACACGGTTCCTTTGCGAAGGACTCTGCAACTCTGCCTGATACGCCGGGCAATACGCTAGGATCAAATCGAGACAGAGCGTATCAAAGCGCCATGACTTAGCCGTGTGATGCTTTAAGGACCTAAGCTACCTGTGTCTCAATCGGACACTTCAAAGTCTAAGTCCCGAACATCTCGACGTAGCGATCCTGCTCTTTGATTCTTCATGTTGTTTCACTGATTACTGGTTCACTGATGGCTGATACTTGTTAAATGGTAATAAACAACTGATCCAGCTTCCTACTCTCGGCATGGTCAGGGCGAGAAATCTGTCTGTTTGCGCACAAACACGAGTCCTACTTGGCTAGTCACACCAGGACCTGTACACCTTTCGCAGGGCGATCTGGCATACGCCTGACTTTGCCAATACGATCATTGTAGCAAGGCAGATAGCTCTTGAAAACACGGTTCCTTTGCGAAGGACTCTGCAACTCTGCCTGATACGCCGGGCAATACGCTAGGATCAAATCGAGACAGAGCGTAACAAAGCGCCATGACTTAGCCGTGTGATGCTTTAAGGACCTAAGCTACCTGTGTCTCAATCGGACACTTCAAAGTCTAAGTCCCGAACATCTTGACGTAGCGATCCTGCTCTTTGATTCTTCATGTTGTTTCACTGATTACTGGTTCACTGATGGCTGATACTTGTTAAATGGTAATAAACAACTGATCCAGCTTCCTACTCTCGGCATGGTCAGGGCGAGAAATCTGTCTGTTTGCGCACTTCGCGCTGTTATTTAATTTAATTTACTAGTTGTAGGGCGAGAGCGGGAGCCAATAAAGCTTTCGTTCGTTCGCTCTTGCAAATTCGCCCCGTCTCTCGTCACCTTAGCATAAGTTAGGTTCTAAGAGAAATTATTGAAACATTAAATTAAGTGATCATCTGTACTCCATTGAAATCTGTCCCTTTCGTTGTCGCAATTTCGCTAAATTTTATAAAAGTTATTTTCGCAATTTAAATCCGTCGAATCCAAATGCAGTCACACAAGTTCGCGTTTCGTTTATACAAACTAGTATTAGATTTTCATGGTGACCCCGACGTGATCGCAGCAGTGTTCGCGATTTTTTTACCACATGTTTTCGGTAAAAACTAAAACAATTACTAAACAAACGCACACAAGCAAATTAATCGTGTCGGTTCGGCTAAAAAATTAACAAGTTTAAGCTTCCGAAATAAATTTCGTCGTTGGACCTTTCCTCCGTTCCTTTTGATGTTGCCCAAGCCATTTTTTCGTCGCTGCTGTTCTTTAATTGTGTAATTTGCCTGCTGCCGCTGGAATATGGATTTAAAAAAGGAAGTTGCAATTGTCGAATCGGCCAACCAGGTATAGAGTGCTAAAAATTTAAAGTTAATCTGTGGCGATTCGTTAATTGTGTTTTGGCCCATCGTAAAACTCTTTGCATTCGTGTAAAAATCGGTAGATAGTGAGCTTTCTGACCAAGAAATAAACTTTGCATGTACTAACAATCAAAATTCTACAATAAACCTAATAGTTTTCGAAATATATCGCGTTGGATAATAAACACGCATATAAAATACTCATCGTTAAGTAGTAACCACCAGTTTAGGGTATAAAAAAAGTGAAAATTGTGAAAAGTGTAGTTCTCAAAAATTAGCGGCAAAAAAACCTCATTACGCTTGAGCTTTAGCATTAGCTCCCCTACAGTGCGGTATATTACTGTCGGAGGGTTTATAGAAAACGTATAAAAACCCTATTTAGATTTTTTTGCTGTACTTCTTAGATTATTGAACAAATAAATAGTATTTATAAAAATAAATATTTAACACCTCTTCGATACCAACAAAAATAAATACAAATAAACGCAATATCGACACTTTTAGTCTACAAAAAATTTCCCAGCCTTCATCGCATCCACTTGGGAGCGAATGTGAGGCGGTTCTCAACAGGCGATACCAACGTAGGCTTCCAATCCTATAACTGTTCAGCAGATTAACCTTAAAGAAGAATGGAAATAACGTTTGTCACTGCCAGGAAGGACCCTGTTCAATGCGTGTATTGCGACTCGCCTGAACATCAAATGGGAAACTGGACTTCCTTCGCAGCCCTAACAGTGCAGTAAAGATTCGATTTCACTAAAAGAGCCCCCCTAATGCATTAACTCCTTAAAAAAGGGTCACACGGTCAAAAAATGCAAATCGAACAGATGTAGAGAGTGCAATTCCTTACACCTCCTGGCACCCCCTTCTCAGCCCACGCACATGTAGTAGATTCCATCCACTTCGCATGTTTTGCATGCGACTGTATCGGATCGAGTCATTCTTGAAACTGCTGTTGTGAGCGTTCATACAAAAAGTGTCGAGTTTGTATTATCTCGAACGTTGCTCGACTCTTGTGAAGTCGCGAGTAGGGAACAGCCAGTTGTCGTCCGATTTTTGGATCCTGAAAAATATTTCTGGTTATCATCCGGATCAAACGGTGAATACCAGCGGGTGAAGTGTGCCTGAAAATATTCAGTTGCCAGATCTATTCTACTTCAAGCCCCAAAAAAAAGATATGATTATCGGCGCTGATACGTTCTTTGAACTTTTGTCTATTGGCCAGATAAAGCAGGAGCCTGAACTTCCCATCTTACAAAAGACAGTTCCCGGCTGGATAGTGTGAGGGAGATGTGCCTCTGAAAATAAAGTAAAGCTGCAGGAGGAAGCGTTGGAGTCCATTGACACAACACTGCAGAAATTTTGGTCTGTGGAGGAATTGCTGCCCAAGGCTAATAGCCTAATTCCATTGTCGCATTAGTGGACTTTTTAAATGTGCCTGATTCCATTGGCGCATCAGCATTTAGCTAATGCTACTCCGACATGTAAGTGGCACGAATCTGGGCTTGTTTACTTTTGAATTTTGGCAAATCCAAAAGAAATTAATTAAAAATAATGAATATGAGTGAGTTTACTCAACTCTTTAATGCTCAGCAGAACATCCATAATGCGATCGAGGCATTTGCCAACTTGGACGACAAGGAGGAGAGATGCTACTGCGTTGTTATGACGGGTTTGCAATGGAGACCACCACAGTTATGTGGGAGTTATTTTATGCCAGAGATCCAGCAGTAGTGCATTGTAGTGAGTAGAATTTGCAGCGTACGCTCAAGGTTTCAGTAATTTTTATACAAAATAGATTTCATATTCAAAAGATATCAATAATTGCGCCAGCCTTGCATATAGTGGTGCCTCGAACAAAATATCGTTAAACATTGGTATTTTCCGGTATTTTTCCTAATAATCGCATTTATTTTAAATGCGGCATTTACCCTTATGGGATTCCCTGTGTAAATAAATGCGCATTTGGCTAAATGCGTTTTAATGCGTTATTGGAATCAGGTTATAAAGTCCATACTCCTGAGCATCAACTCTGTTAACAACACTTTGAGAAAAATACTCAAAGATTTTCTTTTGGTAGATTTTCGGTTCGGTTGCCGTTCAAATTTGACCCAAATACTCTTGGTTCATCATAAGAAGTTGGGAAACGTAGATTTTTGTTGCTGGACAGGAAATTGTCAAAGGACCCTTTGCTGAAGAAGATGTGTCTTGAATTCACTTATCCTCCACCAATGACGAAATTCCGAATACTCCGCGCTATTTCATTCCGCACCAATGCGTGAGAGTAGTTTTCGATGTATCGTGCCGTACTTCCACGCAGGTAGCGTTGAATGACATCTCTATGGTAGGCCCATTTATCCAAGGGGAGCTGTACTCGACTCTGCTACGGTTTAGAATGCATAAGTTTGCCCTTGTGGCTGACGTCAAAAAGATGTATCGCCAAGTGATGGTGGACGAAGCTGACCGAAACTTTCGGCTCATGGTATGGAGACGAGATCCTTCCCTGAAAATCTTTATGTTAAACACAGTTACGTATGGAACTTCGCCAGCACCTTTTTTGGCGATTCGGTGTTTAGCGCGGCTAGGAGAGATGGCAAAAGTAACTCATCCAAAAGCCGCAAATGTTATTCAGAATGATTTTTATGTAGACGACTTGCAATGTCTTTTGCCCAGAGTTATCCGAATCTGATAGCGCTGTAATGCCACTTAGGCAGACTCAGATGTAACTAAGACCCTTGGCGTGGTTTGGTTACCGTTCAAGGATTACTTTCAATTTCTGTTGGATGACATTTTCCTGAATCTTCGCGGGACAAAGTGAAATATTTTGTCGGCGACAGCTCGACTCTTCTACCCACTTGGCCTCTTGTGTTCGTTTGTCGTCAACGCAGATCCACAAGTCCCGATTCAAATACATGGTTTCGCTGACGCTTCCAAGTGTGCGTATAGAGCGTGCAACTACGTTCGTACTCAAACTGCAGGTTTGAAGGTTTAAATGTGTCTTTATTGACCGCCAAATCGAAAGTAGCGCCCCTCAATACAAAAACTTACCTCGCCTTGAGCTGTGTGCAGCTCACCTTTAAGCAGATCTCTATAATCGTGTCGAGCTAGTTCCATTGAGAATGCTTTCCTATAGACAGACTCCGATATCACTTTACACTGGATCAAAACCCATCCCTCGTCGTTGTCGGGTTTTGTTTCGAACCGGGTTGCAGAAATTTAGTAGTGGTCGGAGAAAGCAATTTGAAGACACGTTCCCACAAAAGTGACGTAGAGGAGCTTACAACGTCGATTTGGTTCGGTGGGAATTCGTTCTTGCTCGACTCAGAAAATAATTGGCCTGTAATGCCGGCTGATGTAGTGTCGATAATGCTACGCAAATCGGCACTATCTCTCGTAGTCAGCCCAGAGCCAAAGTATACGCTTCAGAAAATAGAGTCCTTTTCGTCGCGCCTGAAGCTTTTGAAAGTGTTCGTTTAGGTTTTCCGTTTTATTCAAAGGTGCAGAAAGGCGTCGAGCCCTTTGAAAAAAGTATTTCGCCAAGAGCCCTGGATTTCGCTTTTGAGAAAATTGTCGAAGTTATCATATTTCACGAATTAAGGGACGACATAAGTAAAATTCAGAAAAATAAACCGGTAGCAACGAGTATTTAAAAGTTAAACCCTTTTCTTCAGGTGTTTTCTTCATTGGTGTTCCTCGACATTGCAACGAGTTGGGGGTCGGTTATTGAATGCTCCTATCCCGTACAAAGCCAAATTTCCGTTGTGGCTGTCTAAAAGCTCACAGTTCGTCAGATCCTATATGTCATACCAGCACGTTACAAATTGTCACGCTGGCCTATGAGCTCTAGTAAGTCGTGTGCGCGAGAAAATATGGCTTATGCTCATGCTTAAGCTTATGCTCAAGAAGTCTGTCGACGAACAGTTCGGTCTTGCATGCGCTGCTTTCGCTGCAAGCCGCAACTCTTGACGCAAATTATGGGGAACTTGCCAGCAGATAGACTTCGAGTCACGGCAGCCCTGCCAGAAACTTGTCGAAGGATGAAGATGCCGCCAAGTCAACAGAAGAACAAGTCGAGTGTAGCTGGATAAGGGACATGCGGGATAAAATATCTCAGAATCCACATAAATATCCGTACTATTTAGTGGAGGGTCACCAGCTGTACCGTTACATTCCTCACAGAGTGGGCAACGATGGTAATAGCATGAAAGCTGTGCGTACTAACCGGATCGAGGCAGCGAGTCATCGCCGGACACTTGGGCAGCCGGAAAACGATTGCGAGGGTGGCAGCGAGGTCCCATTGCCAGGGTGTGCATCGCGATATCAGGAAGTATGTGCGAATCTGTGAATGCAGCCTCAGATACAAGCTTTATCAGCTTCAGGCGGCCGGGAAAATGCTCACCCAGATCACAAAGAAGCCCTGGGCCAGAGTATTTACCGATTTTGCCGCAGACACCGTTACCGGCCAACACATACGTGTGCAAGTTCCGAAGGAGGTGTGTACACGAAGGGCGAGTCTCGTTACCGGGAATGCGCGGAGGTCTTGTTATATACGCACGCAGCAGCAAGGTTGATCAGGTTAAGCACAAGGAGAAGGGTAGCGGGCCGCATCACGCAGACGCGGGTGGCACCCTTTTGGCTGCTCAGGGCCCGGAGGCCTGCATCGAGAGCAGCAGTCGCGGAGAGCGATTGGCAGCAGCAGCTGGCCGTCGGTGTTGCGACCGCTGAGTAGACCACCCCACCAGCACTGCCGTGGAGGCCATCGACTGGCGACGCCCACCGCCGAGGAGGCACCCGCGTGATCCACTCGGCAGGGTCATCCGAAAGGCCGAAAGGTCGCAAGTGCAACAGCGGAGGAGTCGCACGAGGTCCGGGAACCGACGGAGGAGCTGGAGAAGGGGACATGGTAGTACCCGGCGCCGGTGGCGCCACCCCCGAAATTCGCAAGGCAGGTCTCCGGAGTAATCGAGCCCTGCCGAGAGGTCAAATGAAGTCGGATGACGCCGAGCACTGTTCCGAGGTTCCTGATAAGAATTGTGGACGATAGCTCTCCCTCGGACTCTTCCTGTCCCTTTCTGTACACCACACTCTTTAGGCTCACTACCGTTTGTTTCCTTCAAACAAAACACTGGCCTTTTTGCTGATCGAACCTCGACTTTACCGTTTGGTCTATTAGTGCCTAAACCCGACAAAAAATGCATCCACACCCAACCCGTCTTCTGATTATTTAAATTTGTTTAAATTTAAAATACAAGTTTATGTTCCTAACGGTTAAAAAATGCTTCTTATCCAAGTTATAATCCAAAAGTTTGCTGTTGGAATTTGGGCTTGCCAACAACAAGTTTGATCAAACCGTCCGCTCTAACTTCGAACACATTGATTCAAAATTTTACGCCTATACGCCACTGTGACTTTTGATGGTCGCTTTGCAAAACCTTACGGACCATCTTTGAAAGATATGGTAAATGGTGGATCGTGCTCGGTGGGACTAGGCCATTAGACTTATAAATCTGTTTCAATAGAAAATGTTTTCCCAAGTTAAATGGCTTTATAATTACACAAACAAAAACACCTCTTTACGAGATAAAATTAACGTGACGATCGCACCTATAACTCCAATAAATTCTGATAACAGATTTTGTGACGACTATTTTTTATTTTGCCAACAAAATTTACCTTTTTTTATTCAATTGTAATCGTTTTGTAATCGGCACGAAGCAGCGTGTCGTGAATAAAAAACAAGAAAGGATGTAAACTTAGTTAAGCCGAAAGTCCATATACCCCTACAGCTATTTTCAAAATTAAATATTTTGATTTACTTCCGTATATTTTAAAAGCATCGATGCTATGATTATTTGTATCTCAATTATTCGATAGTTTCTATGACAGCTATACGATATCTTTTCTGATTTTAATAGACTTAAAAGCGTAGTTCTCAACTATCAAAATATTAATAAGTCAAAAAAGATGTTTAAAAAAAAAATTACAAAATAAAATAAAAAAAATTACAAAAAATTTTTATGAATTTTAAACCGTAATTCTGAAATATTTGACTACTATATGTCGGAAAAATAAAAAAAAAAAATTAAAAAGCATCAAAGTTATAATTTTTGTATCCTATAATTGTCCGATCCGGCTCGTTCCGACCTATATACTACCTGCAATAGAAAAACAACTTTTGGGACAGTTTCATGCAGATAACTCTAAAACTGAGAGGCTAGTTTGTGTAGAAACGAACGAACAGACTGACGGACAGAGGGACATGGCTAGATCGACTCTTCTATTGATGCTGATCAAGTATATAAAGGCTGATTTTTTAAGAGCTTTCCTACTTTAAAAACAAAATAATCTTGATTTGAATCGATAGTATGTCAATATAAATGAATGCTTTAAGATAATTTCATTTAAATGCTCCATCCGCTAAGTCCATTTCTGCCAGTATCTCGCTCATGAAAGCTTAGATGTTGGCTTCCAATGCTCCAATTGTTACGGGCTTGTCCCTATAGACATGAGCCTTGACATGACACCAAAATTATCTAACGGCGTTAGATACAAGTAGTGAAGTGACAGAGTCCCGATTGCTGTGAACGGCACCGAATTAATAATCCAAGGTCTCCTTGGACACTGGCCGCTACAGCTACGATGTTTTCTTCATTTCGCACATTAAATAAGCGTGTTGATGGCTTAATGTCCAACAAGGTAAATTTAGTGCGAAATTTCATTACAACACCCCGAATTGCCGACAGAGAAGGTCGCCGAAACTGTTCATAAAGTGGAAGAAGCGCGCGATGAACTTCCTTAACCGAGCACTCATTTTGATAATAAAATTCAATAATTTGCAACCTATGTTCGTTTGTTAAACGATTCATGGTTAAATTATAAGCCTATCTGAAAATATTAACCAGAGTTACAAACTAGGGCTGTCAAAAAAAAAGGAAAGTAAAAAAACACCATTTATATACTTTATAAATTGGGAAATGTCTCCTTGAATGCAAGGGTTTAAATAGTAATTTGATATTAAAGTGCACTATGACAGGAGCCGACCTCATGTTAATTAAAAATTTTTTTATGTCTCTAGTACCCTAAAACATCGCCTTAAAACGCACGTACAATAGAAAAACGTTCTCATTTCAAAAATTTTCAGTTTGGTGCCGGTGAGACGGTCACAAGTAAGACCACTCTGCCTATATGAATAGGTGTGTGGCTTAGTATTTATTTCAGCTCGTTATATACGTTAGCTATATATAAATAGTATTTAGTGGCGTTAGCAGAGGCCTTTACAATAGTAGGCTTTAAGAGTATTTTAACAGTAGTAACATAAAAATATCTTAAAAATAAATACTGAGTATGTTAACAGGTTTTTTTAAAATACTTGGAACTGTGACTAAACACGACAATTTATCGCTATCGAAATATTCTTATAGAAATAGTTGGCTTTAAGAGCTTTGTTTAACAGTGTTAACATAAAAAATAAATGCTGAATGTTTTAACAGGTTTTAAATACATGGAATTGTGACTAAACGCGACAAATTATTACTATCAAAATATTCTTATAGGAACTGTTAACTGTGAGGTGTGACCAAAAATGCCTGAGTATCGATGTCAAGAGTCACTGCCGCGAATATCGATAGTGGCCTTAGTGACCCGATATCGCGGCATGACAATCGAAAAAAGCCAGCATGGCTGGTTTGTTTACATTTTTAGAATTTACAAGTTTGCTAATAAAAATTTTCTTTTCAGGTATTTCGCGGCTTTCTGCCAACAGGATTTGGAGTTGCCGCATCCACAGGAAGACGTCCAGTGTTGATGGAGGTGTACCAGCCAGCGGAGTCGGCGGAGTTAAGTAGCAGCCAGTTTCCAATCCACAGGGGAGAAAGTATCGTCAGAGTTTTTTGCACGCTGTAACTTACAAGTCCTTTCCTCTCGTACTAGGGGTGGTTGTTGCAGCACGTGTCAGCCTCATTCAAAGCCTCTGGAGAGTCCGGATTAATGTGGTTGGATACAGCCAGCTGTAGATTAGCGACGCCAACTTCAGGAGAGTCCACCGTCGGTTGTTGGCTAATTTGCCACTGAGTTTGCTGTGAATACTGGATGCACACTGACCCCAAGGGAGCAGTGGCAGAAGGAGCTGGTCCAGCTGGATGTGATAAGGACTCATGAGAGCAGGAGGCGCTAATCAAGGATGTAGTGGAGACCAGTTCTTTAGCGACTTCAAAACAACCCGAACCAGTGGCCGCGGAGGATCCAGTAAAGTCAGCTCGGGGCAAACCAGTTGTAGAGCATTCAGCAGTACTGCCCAAGGAGTCCAGAGGTGCAGAAACTGGAGTGTCGTTGTAAACAGTGCGTTTTTGTACGTGTGGTCGCATGTTACTAATTAAAGTCTTTTTTCCCTCGCCAGGTGGAATCATCTCGTCTATCTGCAGATTTGACCGCTTGTCTGCGTTGGAGCCGGAGCCCGCAGCTGTACCGGATTCAGCTGATGAGTTTGGAGAGTCCGGGCTAGCGCTGCTGTTGTTTTTTGGCGGCAGCAGATTTCGGAGCATAGAATCCAGTACCAAGGGAGATTGCAGTCAGCTGTTGGAGAGTAGTTTGTCGCAGTTCCTGTGTGTGATGAGTCCAGTTTGGCCCCATTTCTGTTGTCCCAGACAGCGGGCGAGCTATAAAGGCTTCGAGAACGCTTGGAGCTGCAGCTTGGTGATGAGTAGTGGGCGAGGGTGGAACAATTTGGTGATACTCTTCTCTCACACCAGGAGTGAGTAGCACCGCCGCATCAGTTGCTGCCGACGATTCCAAGGGATCCGGATTAGCGCCGTCAATGATTTGGTCGAGGGGCAATCTTGGAGCAGCATCACTGTTGGTGTGTGGACATCTAGGAGTGACCTTCGTTGAAACCTGTAAATTTGAGTGAGAAAAATTAGGGGTGACGGCCATGGTTTTTTGGACCGCCACAGATAAATCTGTATCATATGAATCTAATAGTTCTTCTTCCAGGTACAGTTTCAGCCTGTTCAGGCCAGCTTGAAGCTGCTGCTCTGGAGTTGGCGTGCGGACCTCGGATGGTAATAGCGGGCTCATAATAAGCCTCTGGATGTACTCTGGCTGAAACCTGATGATATGGGCCATGTCTACACGGCTAATCGTGCCACTCCTGACTGACCGTGACATGTTGTTGACCCAGTCCATCGACGGCCTTTCCTGGGGTACGCCGGTCGCTAACGCTAGTGCCTGTTTTTGCCTAGCCTGGCTTTCACGTTGTTCTATGCGCAGCTGTGCTTGCTGTAGATTACGCTGTTCGTGTTCTTGTTGTTTAAGGCGAATTAGAGTTGGAATTTGCTGCTGGTGTGTTGCCGGTTGCTGTAGCAGTAAACGCCGCAAAGGCTCAAAATGTTTTTCAAGTTGTTTCGAGTAAATTGGCAAGTCTTGGTTATCCGGAGTAAATAGATTCAAGAGAAGATTTCTCATTTCTGTGTTCGGGTGTGCAAGGAGTGAGTTGGCAAGCCTGCCACTGGCTTCGTCAAATACTTCTTGCACAGCCTTCACGTTGTAAAGGCTTTGAATGTCCTTATTCCTTGTATAACGGCCGGCTTGCACAGTCCAGCGTAGCATTTTGTTGTGTGACACCTCTATTTTACCAAATTGTGTTTTTGAAACCAGTGGACCCCAGACAGGGAGTGCGTACTGCCAGGTTGGCGCGATTAATTGTTTATATAGTAGTGCTTTGCTTGAAGCTGGGAGCTTGCTCTGCTTACCCAGGATCCAGCTCAAACCATAAACAGCAGCTCGCACCCTGTTTGATAACTGGGTGGTATGGTGATTTAATTTTAGCCTCCTATCTAGTAAAAGTCCTAAATAGCGATGCTTAAATTGGTTTTTTATTTTAGTACCACGTATAGTTGGGGCTGTTGGTCCACGTAAAACCGAAACAGCACGATTTGCAAACATAATATGGACTGTTTTGCTTTCGTTTAGGGTAATACCCCAAAGTGACGCCCAGCTTGTGATTTCAGAGAGATACTTGGTATTCGTGTCAATTGCTATATGAGCCGCCTTGTCCGTACACATAATGACAGCGTCGTCTGCATAAGTTGAAAGTAGCATGGATTTATGGTCAGCTTGCTCAGTAAAAAGTGTCCGTCCGACAGAAGTAGGAAGCGGCATGTCGGCAGTGTAAATCGTGTAGAGAATAGGCCCTAGAACACTGCCTTGAGGAACGCCCGCAGTCATTTTACCAATTCTGGACTGATGTCCGTTATAGCCATTTACAACAAAAGTGCGATTTGTTAGATAACTTTCCAGGGTTCTCAGGAGGTAGTACGGTAGCAGTTTAGCCAGCTTTAAAAGCAGACCGTGATGCCATACGCGGTCAAATGCTTCGCTGACATCAATGAAAACGGCAGAGCAGTATTGCTTTTTTTTAAACGCTTTTTGTATAAATTGCGTAACCCTAAACAGCTGCTGTTCCGTATTATGCTCTTTTCTGAACCCAAATTGGTGGGAGGGGACTGCTTCCTCAAAGTCCTTACTCTCAAACATTCTTCTCATGAGAAGCGCCTCAAATATTTTAGAAAAGCCAGCCAAAAGGCTGATTGGTCTGTAAGAGTTAACGTCATGATGACTTTTACTGGGTTTTTTAATCATAGAGATATACGCACATTTCCATTTTGATGGAAAGTGACCAAATCTTAATATACAATTGAAAATATACGTAATAAACATTACAGCCTTGTGAGGAAGCTTTTTAATTAGGCAGTTTTCGATTCTGTCACCCCCAGGTGCCTTTTTGTTCTGTAATAATTTGATCTCCTTGTAAGTTTCTGATGGCGCAATCGGCCTGAACCGCAATTCCGCAACAGGATGGTCTCCCCCATACTCCTCCCTGTGGAGCCATGTAGCCCTTGAAATTTGCCCTTTTTGTTTGATAATCTCCTTTGCTTCAGAAAGTATATTGTCCCTGTACTCTATAGAGGTTGATAACTTAGGTTTAAACCTTTCCTCTAGATGATTAACAAATGCTTCAGTCTTTTCCTCATTTGACTTTGTCCATACAAAGTTTTCCCCAACGTTGCCATTACCACCACAATTAGTTTCTTGTATTTTAAGAGGCCAGTTAGGCTCCGGTTTTCTTTTGAACCGGTTAACTATCCTCCATAGCTTATGCATCCTATAACGATCATTAGGATCGATATTATTAAAGATCTTGTTATTTATTTTGATTTTCTCTTCCTGCACGGATTTTGAAAATGTACGACTTGCTTGTTGGTAAATTCTTCGATTTTCTGGCGTAGGCCTAACCATGAAGTTTTGCTTGCTAATATTTTTCTGGTCTAGCTGCAGTTGAAGTCGCTGGCTAAGGATGATTTGTCCTGGTCGAAGGTTTGGGCGCGAGTTATTTTGGGACGCTGCCGCAGCCGCGCAGTAGATTTTATTATATAGAGAATCAATAACAAGTTCGATATCATTTCCTGATGAAATTTCTGTATTTAAGTGAATGGAATCAGATAGGATGCGTTGAAATTTTTTAACATTCGCCCTAGGTGGCAGGAGTCGACGGTTTTGAGCACCATTTTCAAAATGTCCTTCTACAGCCAGCTCAATAAAGATAGGAAGATGGTCAGATTGTAGATCTACTACTGAGTGAGTGCGAAACCTATCACTAGGTATACCTAGATAGACCGCAAAATCGATTGCAGATGGCATTTTCCTACTGTCGAAAGGGTAGTGAGTGGCACCCCCAGTTGCCAGTATGTTTATCTGATTATATGAATGAATTGAACGCAAGAGGTTCCTGCCTCTTGCACAGGATCGAACGCAGCCCCACCAGGGGTTTTTGGCATTCCAATCCCCGCATATGATGATTTTTGAGCTATTCGATAATTTCTTCATGTGAGCGAAGAACATGTTGAAGTGAACTTCTGACCATTTGTGCTGGGGTGGCAAGTAGACTGGAGCAACGACTATCTGTTCCCTATTAGCAGTTGTGATGAGTAACGGGCAACTTTGAATGCAGTCTTCCATTATGGGTTGTAGAGCAATATGTCTGAGGTTAGATTTTATAAAAACGGCCGTACCACCACTCCTTTTAGTGGGGTGGGTGGCACTGTATAAAACATATCCATTAAGGTGGACCTCATTATTGGTGGTGGTAAGAGGGTCAAAGTTGCAATGTAGGCGAATTTCAGTAATAATCATAATATCTATTTTATTTTGCTGAATAAAAATTTTTACGTCAGGAAATTTATTACCAAGGCCGCAGGCATTCCAATACGCAATTTTAAGTGATTTGAGTACTGAAACACCTGCATTGGCATTTGTTTGAGTTGGAGTACCTGAGGTATTTCTGGGATTTAGTATCACATTTCTGGCGTTAGGCATGGCAAATTTCATTAACATTTATTTGCCCATTGGATGAGGCAATAAGGAGATTTACTAGTTTAAAGAGGGCATCTACCTTCTTCCCCATTTCACTCACGGCTATCATGTTTTGCTGGACCAGCTGGAGCATTTCCTCAGTAGTAAGTGAGGGGGAGCCAGGGCTAGAACAGGTTTCCTTCAGCGATTTGGGTTTTTGATGGGGCTGCTGCCCGCGCTGCTGGTTGCCACTCGTTGTAGGGGGAGACCTCGCACTGTTTTTCCTGCCGGGAGAAAAATTATTAGGACGGGTTGAAAAAGGATTTTCCCTAAGGCTGCCCTGTTCCGCCTGTAGGCGGGCTTGAAAAACTTTTAAATGATTTTCCGCAGGGTTTTTCGCGGGGACCGTCCTTTGGAGATTTTTCTTGAGTATCTGACTGTAGGTAGCTTTGGAGGGGGTGCAGTGGAGGGGGGTTACGAACTCGCGGAGACTCTACCGGGTATATCCTGGTGCCACCCGAGTTTACCCTGAGAGTTTCCCGCCGCCTGTGCTCCATATTATTATTTTGAGGTACCGTATCCACGGCGACATGCGCACGGTGAGCCAAGAGCCGGGCCTGCGCTTTTTTGTATTCCACGCAGCCCTTGTAACTGGCGACATGGCCCAGTCCACAGTTGGCACACTTGGGATTTGGTACCCTTACTTCTGAGCAATCTGTAGTAGCATGCGGACCCGCACATTTCATGCAGACAAAGTCCCTGCGGCAGTTTGCCTTTGTATGTTCGTACTTCTGGCAGCGGTGGCACATAGCGGGTTCAAGTCTCCTCAGCTGTCGCTCAACTTTCACAACTTGGTTTCCCAATCTAGTGATGCTGAGAACCTTGTCATTTCCATGATCAGCAGCAGGTGCTAGCTCAACCTCAAATAGGTCCAATGGTTTCCGGCTACGTCGATGTTTAATGTTGCTGATATACCGGACAGAGAAGCCCATACCAGTTAGCTGGCGGCGAATCTGGTCACAGGGAGTAGAGTGGTGGATTTGCCTAATTACCACCCTGTATCCACGCTCCGAGCGTCGCTGGAAGGTATGCGTCTGGCATTTCTCCGCCTCCAATTTTGCCAAAACCTGTTGATAAGAAAGTAAATCCTTACACAAAAGTTTAATTCGGTTTCCTTTTAAGCAGGTTAAAGAATATTTATTCCGAAGTCCCTCGATGGTATTAAGAGACTCTACTAGTGGCTGGATGGAAGAAATATTGTGTAAAAATATGGCAGGGATTTTTTCCTCAGGTACAGGGGCATCTCCATGATCCGTAAGAGGTTGCTGGTTTTTGCCTTGGATTGTCTGGCAGGGGGCCAGGCTGTCTTCCTGTACGCTGGCCATGGTAATAGGCGTTTCCGTTACACTCTGGGCATCAATCTGTCTGCAGGGCATATCCTCAGCTACTTCAAAGATGTCCATAACTTCCCTCGTCGCCTTAGACGGGGTGCTGGATACCGGAACAGCACGGGAATGCTTAATAAATGGCTCAACAGATGGATTAGCAGACTCCATTAGTTCAGCCGTCGAAATGGACCTGGTACGCTTTTTGCTGGCAAGCGAGAGAGTGGGCTGCTTCCGTTTGCTGCACTTTGGTCCAGGCTTGGACGCAGGAGCAACTCCGTTAAGGTTAGTTTTATGAGTATGGGTAGATAAAGTATGATTATTTGGTTCATAGTTGTTAGAGTTAATAGCATCCACAGTGAGCTGTTCATCGGGTTTGTTGTTGTTTCCACAGATGAAAGTCATGGATTTGTTACATACGTCAACTACTTTGTCTTTATTTAGCTCCAAAGTTGGCAAGTGAACGTCAGCAATCACAGTAATTTTGTTTTTGCTGGCTTTACCCTGAGTTGGGCTCGGTGAAGAGAGGTAGTCATCACTGCTCAGGCGGCCAGCAGCAGCATTTGAAGGCATTTTTCTCGTTTTATTAGCACACTTGCACTAAAGTTTGGTTAAGTTGCAGTAGTAATTGTGGCTTGGGAACAGTTCGCCTTGCGTGTATTAGTATGTGGTGAGTTTTATTTTTTGGTAATAGGTTTTTCTTATATATTAGCACGCGCGCACCATAGTTTGGTTAGGCTGCACTAGTGTGTGTGACTTTGAAACAGTCTGTGTGTGTCAGCGTGTGGTGAGTTTCGTTTTGGCGCGGAAAAAACACGAATTGGCGCGAGGAAAATTTTTCTGCGTGGGTGCGTTACAAAGTTTTTCACAGCACAAATGCATGTATCAATGTAGACAGTTCACATACACGGTCTGTGTGTGTCAGCGTGTGGTGAGTTCCGTTTTGGCGCGGAAAAACACAAATTGGCGCGAAGAAAATTTTTTCTGCGTGGGTGCGTTACAAAGTTTTTCACAGCACAAATGCATGTATCAGTGTAGACAGTTCACATACACAGGACATAACAATTGCACTAATACATGCGCGTCAAAGTTCACATAAAACATTTTTAACAAGTTAAAATTGGTCAGTAAATTACACGTGCACGTACGAAAAACTTTAATATATTCCGTTTTTTCAGTTTGATTTTTAGTTTTCAGTTTGGTTTTTCATTTCAGTTTGGTGCCGGTGAAATTTTTCAGTTTGGTGCCGGTGAAACGGTCACAAGTAAGACCACTTTTTTCAGTTTGGTGCCGGTGAATTTCAGTTTGGTGCCGGTGAAACGGTCACAAGTAAGACCACTCTGCCTATATGAATAGGTGTGTGGCTTAGTATTTATTTCAGCTCGTTATATACGTTAGCTATATATAAATAGTATTTAGTGGCGTTAGCAGAGGCCTTTACAATAGTAGGCTTTAAGAGTATTTTAACAGTAGTAACATAAAAATATCTTAAAAATAAATACTGAGTATGTTAACAGGTTTTTTAAAATACTTGGAACTGTGACTAAACACGACAATTTATCGCTATCGAAATATTCTTATAGAAATAGTTGGCTTTAAGAGCTTTGTTTAACAGTGTTAACATAAAAAATAAATGCTGAATGTTTTAACAGGTTTTAAATACATGGAATTGTGACTAAACGCGACAAATTATTACTATCAAAATATTCTTATAGGAACTGTTAACTGTGAGGTGTGACCAAAAATGCCTGAGTATCGATGTCAAGAGTCACTGCCGCGAATATCGATAGTGGCCTTAGTGACCCGATATCGCGGCATGACAATCGAAAAAAGCCAGCATGGCTGGTTTGTTTACATTTTTAGAATTTACAAGTTTGCTAATAAAAATTTTCTTTTCAGGTATTTCGCGGCTTTCTGCCAACAGGATTTGGAGTTGCCGCATCCACAGGAAGACGTCCAGTGTTGATGGAGGTGTACCAGCCAGCGGAGTCGGCGGAGTTAAGTAGCAGCCAGTTTCCAATCCACAGGGGAGAAAGTATCGTCAGAGTTTTTTTTTTTGCACGCTGTAACTTACAAGTCCTTTCCTCTCGTACTAGGGGTGGTTGTTGCAGCACGTGTCAGCCTCATTCAAAGCCTCTGGAGAGTCCGGATTAATGTGGTTGGATACAGCCAGCTGTAGATTAGCGACGCCAACTTCAGGAGAGTCCACCGTCGGTTGTTGGCTAATTTGCCACCGAGTTTGCTGTGAATACTGGATGCACACTGACCCCAAGGGAGCAGTGGCAGAAGGAGCTGGTCCAGCTGGATGTGATAAGGACTCATGAGAGCAGGAGGCGCTAATCAAGGATGTAGTGGAGACCAGTTCTTTAGCGACTTCAAAAAAGCCCGAACCAGTGGCCGCGGAGGATCCAGTAAAGTCAGCTCGGGGCAAACCAGTTGTAGAGCATTCAGCAGTACTGCCCAAGGAGTCCAGAGGTGCAGAAACTGGAGTGTCGTTGTAAACAGTGCGTTTTTGTACGTGTGGTCGCATGTTACTAATTAAAGTCTTTTTTCCCTCGCCAGGTGCAAGTATCTCGTCTATCTGCAGATTTGACCGCTTGTCTGCGTTGGAGCTGGAGCCCGCAGCTGTACCTGATTCAGCTGATGAGTTTGGAGAGTCCGGGCTAGCGCTGCTATTGTTTTTGGCGGCAGCAGATTTCGGAGCATAGAATCCAGTACCAAGGGAGATTGCAGTCAGCTGTTGCAGAGTAGTTTGTCGCAGTTCCTGTGTGTGATGAGTCCAGTTTGGCCCCATTTCTGTTGTCCCAGACAGCGGGCGAGCTGTAAAGGCTTCAAGAACGCTTGGAGCTGCAGCTTGGTGATGAATAGTGGGCGAGGGTGGAACAATTTGGTGGTATTCTTCTCTCACACCAGGAGTGAGTAGCACAGCCACATCAGTTGCTGCAGACGATTCCAAGGGAACCGGACTAGCGCCGTCAATGATTTGGTCGAGGGGCAATCTTGGAGCAGCATCACTGTTGGTGTGTGGACATCTAGGAGTGACCTTCGTTGAAACCTGTAAATTTGAGTGAGAAAAATTAGGGGTGACGGCCATGGTTTTTTGGACCGCCACAGATAAATCTGTATCATATGAATCTAATAGTTCTTCTTCCAGGTACAGTTTCAGCCTGTTCAGGCCAGCTTGTAGCTGCTGCTCTGGAGTTGGCGTGCGGACCTCGGATGGTAGAAGCGGGCTCATAATAAGCCTCTGGATGTACTCTGGCTGAAACCTGATGATATGGGCCATGTCTACACGGCTAATCGTGCCACTCCTGACTGACCGTGACATGTTGTTGACCCAGTCCATCGACGGCCTTTCCTGGGGTACGCCGGTCGCTAACGCTAGTGCCTGTTTTTGCCTAGCCTGGCTTTCACGTTGTTCTATGTGCAGCTGTGCTTGCTGTAGATTACGCTGTTCGTGTTCGTGTTCGTGTTCTTGTTGTTTAAGGCGAATTAGAGTTGGAATTTGCTGCTGAAGTGTTGCCGGTGTAAACCTTTCCTCAAGATGATTAAAAAATGCTTCAGTCTTTTCCTCATTTGGATTTGTCCATACAAAGTTTTCCCCAACGTTGCCATTACCACCACAATTAGTTTCTTGTATTTTAAGAGGCCAGTTAGGCTCCGGTTTTCTTTTGAACCGGTTAACTATCCTCCATAGCTTATGCATCCTATAATGATCATTAGGATTGATATTATTAAAGATCTTGTTATTTATTTTGATTTTCTCTTCCTGCACAGATTTTGAAAATGTACGACTTGCTTGTTGGTAAATTCTTCGATTTTCTGGCGTAGGCCTAACCATGAAGGTTTGCTTGCTAATGTTTTTCTGGTCTAGCTGCAGTTGAAGTCGCTGGCTAAGGATGATTTGTCCTGGTCGAAGGTTTGGGCGCGAGTTATTTTGGGACGCTGCCGCAGCCGCGCAGTAGATTTTATTATATAGAGAATCAATAACAAGTTCGATATCATTTCCTGATGAAATTTCTGTATTTAAGTGAATGGAATCAGATAGGATGCGTTGAAATTTTTTAACATTCGCCCTAGGTGGCAGGAGTCGACGGTTTTGAGCACCATTTTCAAAATGTCCTTCTACAGCCAGCTCAATAAAGATAGGCAGATGGTCAGATTGTAGATCTACTACTGAGTGAGTGCGAAACCTATCACTAGGTATACCTAGATAGACCGCAAAATCGATTGCAGATGGCATTTTCCTACTGTCGAAAGGGTAGTGAGTGGCACCCCCAGTTGCCAGTATGTTTATCTGATTATATGAATGAATTGAACGCAAGAGGTTCCTGCCTCTTGCACAGGATCGAACGCAGCCCCACCAGGGGTTTTTGGCATTCCAATCCCCGCATATGATGATTTTTGAGCTATTCGATAATTTCTTCATGTGAGCGAAGAACATGTTGAAGTGAACTTCTGACCATTTGTGCTGGGGTGGCAAGTAGACTGGAGCAACGACTATCTGTTCCCTATTAGCAGTTGTGATGAGTAACAGGCAACTTTGAATGCAGTCTTCCATTATGGGTTGTAGAGCAATATGTCTGAGGTTAGATTTTATAAAAACGGCTGTACCCCCACTCCTTTTAGTGGGGTGGGTGGCACTGTATAAAACATATCTATTAAGGTGGACCTCATTATTGGTGGTGGTAAGAGGGTCAAAGTTGCAATGTAGGCGAATTTCAGTAATAATCATAATATCTGAGTAATTTCTGGGATTTAGTATCACATTTCTGGCATTAGGCATGGCAAATTTCATTAACATTTATTTGCCCATTGGATGAGGCAATAAGGAGATTTACTAATTTAAAGAGGGCATCTACCTTCTTCCCCATTTCACTCACGGCTATCATGTTTTGCTGGACCAGTTGGAGCATTTCCTCAGTAGTAAGTGAGGGGGAGCCAGGGCTGGAACAGGTTTCCTTCAGCGATTTGGGTTCTTGATGGGGCTGCTGCCCGCGCAGCTGGTTGCCGCTCGTTGTAGGGGGAGACCTCGCACTGTTTTTCCTGCCGGGAGAAAAATTTTTAGGACGGGTTGAAAAAGGATTTTCCCTGAGGCTGCCCTGTTCCGCCTGTAGGCGGGCTTGAAAAACTTTTAGATGATTTTCCGCGGGGTTTTCCGTAGGGACCGTCCTTTGCAGATTTTTCTTGAGTATCTGACTGTAGGTAGCTTTGGAGGGGGTGCAGTGGAGGGGGTTACGAACTCGCGGAGACTCTACCGGGTATGTCCTGGTGCCACCTGAGTTTACCCTGAGAGTTTCCCGCCGCCTGTGCTCCATATTATTATTTTGAGGTACCGTATCCACGGCGACATGCGCACGGTGAGCCAAGAGTCGGGCCTGCGCTTTTTTGTATTCCACGCAGCCCTTGTAACTGGCGACATGGCCCAATCCACAGTTGGCACACTTGGGATTTGGTACCCTTACTTCTGAGCAATCTGTAGTAGCATGCGGACCCGCACATTTCATGCAGACAAAGTCCCTGCGGCAGTTTGCCTTTGTATGTTCGTACTTCTGGCAGCGGTGGCACATAGCGGGTTCAAGTCTCCTCAGCTGTCGCTCAACTTTCACAACTTGGTTTCCCAATCTAGTGATGCTGAGAACCTTGTCATTTCCATGATCAGCAGCAGGTGCTAGCTCAACCTCAAATAGGTCCAATGGTTTCCGGCTACGTCGATGTTTAATGTTGCTGATATACCGGACAGAGAAGCCCATACCAGTTAGCTGGCGGCGAATCTGGTCACAGGGAGTAGAGTGGTGGATTTGCCTAATTACCACCCTGTATCCACGCTCCGAGCGTCGCTGGAAGGTATGCGTCTGGCATTTCTCCGCCTCCAATTTTGCCAAAACCTGTTGGTAAGAAAGTAAATCCTTACACAAAAGTTTAATTCGGTTTCCTTTTAAGCAGGTTAAAGAATATTTATTCCGAAGTCCCTCGATGGTATTAAGAGACTCTACTAGTGGCTGGATGGAAGAAATATTGTGTAAAAATATGGCAGGGATTTTTTCCTCAGGTACAGGGGCATCTCCATGATCCGTAAGAGGTTGCTGGTTTTTGCCTTGGATTGTCTGGCAGGGGGCCAGGCTGTCTTCCTGTACGCTGGCCATGGTAATAGGCGTTTCCGTTACACTCTGGGCATCAATCTGTCTGCAGGGCATATCCTCAGCTACTTCAAAGATGTCCATAACTTCCCTCGTCGCCTTAGACGGGGTGCTGGATACCGGAACAGCACGGGAATGCTTAATAAATGGCTCAACAGATGGATTAGCAGACTCCATTAGTTCAGCCGCCGAAATGGACCTGGTACGCTTTTTGCTGACAAGCGAGAGAGTGGGCTGCTTCCGTTTGCTGCACTTTGGTCCAGGCTTGGACGCAGGAGCAACTCCGTTAAGATTAGTTTTATGACTATGGGTAGATAAAGTATGATTATTTGGTTCATAGTTGTTAGAGTTAATAGCATCCACAGTGAGCTGTTCATCGGGTTTGTTGTTGTTTCCACAGATGAAAGTCATGGATTTGTTACATACGTCAACTACTTTGTCTTTATTTAGCTCCAAAGTTGGCAAGTGAACGTCAGCAATCACAGTAATTTTGTTTTTGCTGGCTTTACCCTGAGTTGGGCTCGGTGAAGAGAGGTAGTCATCACTGCTCAGGCGGCCAGCAGCAGCATTTGAAGGCATTTTTCTCGTTTTATTAGCTTTTCAGTTTGGTGCCGGTGAAACGGTCACAAGTAAGACCACTCTGCCTATATGAATAGGTGTGTGGCTTAGTATTTATTTCAGCTCGTTATAAACGTTAGCTATATATAAATAGTACTTAGAGGCGTTAGCAGAGGCCTTAACAATAGTAGGCTTTAAGAGTATTTTAACAGTAGTAACATAAAAATATCTTAAAAATAAATACTGAGTATGTTAACAGGTTTTTTTAAAATACTTGGAACTGTGACTAAACGCGACAATTTATCGTTATCAAAATATTCTTATGGAAATAGTAGGCTTTAAGAGCTTTGTTTAACAGTGTTAACATAAGAAATAAATGCTGAATGTTTTAACAGGTTTTAAATACATGGAATTGTGACTAAACGCGACAAATTATTACTATCGAAATATTCTTATAGGAACTGTTAACTGTGAGGTGTGACCAAAATTGCCTGAGTATCGATGTCAAGAGTCACTGCCGCGAATATCGATAGTGGCTTTAGTGACCCGATATCGCGGCATGACAATCGAAAAAAGCCAGCATGGCTGGTTTGTTTACATTTTTTTTAGAATTTACAAGTTTGCTAATAAAAATTTTCTTTTCAGGTATTTCGCGGCTTTCTGCCAACAGGATTTGGAGTTGCCGCATCCACAGGAAGGCGTCCAGTGTCGATGGAGGTGTACCAGCCAGCGGAGTCGGCGAAGTTAAGTAGCAGCAAGTTTCCAATCCACAGGGGAGAAAGTATCGTCAGAGTTTTTGCACGCTGTAACTTACAAGTCTTTTCCTCTCGTACTAGGGGTGGTTGTTGCAGCACGTGTCAGCCTCATTCAAAGCCTCTGGAGAGTCCGGATTAATGTGGTTGGATACAGCCAGCTGTAGATTAGCGACGCCAACTTCAGGAGAGTCCACCGTCGGTTGTTCGCTAATTTGCCATCGAGTTTGCTGTGAATACTGGATGCACACTGGCCCCAAGGGAGCAGTGGCAGAAGGAGCTGGTCCAGCTGGATATGATAAGAACTCGTGAGAGCAGGAGGCACTAATCAAGGATGTAGTGGAGACCAGTTCTTTTGCGTCTTCAGAACAGCCCGAACCAGTGGCCGCGGAGGATCCAGTAAAGTCAGCTCGGGGCAAACCAGTTGTAGAGCATTCAGCAGTACTGCCCAAGGAGTCCAGAGGTGCAGAAACTGGAGTGTCATTGTAAACAGTGCGTTTTTGTACGTGTGGTCGCATGTTACTAATTAAAGTCTTTTTTCCCTCGCCAGGTGGAAGTATCTCGTCTATCTGCAGATTTGACCGCTTGTCTGCGTTGGAGCTGGAGCCCGCAGCTGTACCTGATTCAGCTGATGAGTTTGGAGAGTCCGGGCTAGCGCTGCTATAGTCTTTGGCGGCGGCAGATTTCGGAGCATAGAATCCAGTACCAAGGGAGATTGCAGTCAGCTGTTGAAGAGTAGTTTGTCGCAGTTCCTGTGTGTGATGAGTCCAGTTTGGCCCCATTTCTGTTGTCCCAGACAGCGGGCGAGCTATAAAGGCTTCAAGAACGCTTGGAGCTGCAGCTTGGTGATGAATAGTGGGCGAGGGTGGAACAATTTGGTGATATTCTTCTCTCACACCAGGAGTGAGTAGCACAGCCACATCAGTTGCTGCCGACGATTCCAAGGGATCTGGATTAGCGCCGTCAATGATTTGGTCGAGGGGCAATCTTGGAGCAGCATCACTGTTGGTGTGTGGACATCTAGGAGTGACCTGTGAAACCTGTAAATTTGAGTGAGAAAAATTAGGGGTGACGGCCATGGTTTTTTGGACCGCCACAGATAAATCTGTATCATATGAATCTAATAGTTCTTCTTCCAGGTACAGTTTCAGCCTGTTCAGGCCAGCTTGAAGCTGCTGCTCTGGAGTTGGCGTGCGGACCTCGGATGGTAGTAGCGGGCTCATAATAAGCCTCTGGATGTACTCTGGCTGAAACCTGATGATATGGGCCATGTCTACACGGCTAATCGTGCCACTCCTGACTGACCGTGACATGTTGTTGACCCAGTCCATCGACGGCCTTTCCTGGGGTACGCCGGTCGCTAACGCTAGTGCCTGTTTTTGCCTAGCCTGGCTTTCACGTTGTTCTATGTGCAGCTGTGCTTGCTGTAGATTACGCTGTTCGTGTTCGTGTTCGTGTTCTTGTTGTTTAAGGCGAATTAGAGTTGGAATTTGCTGCTGAAGTGTTGCCGGTGTAAACCTTTCCTCAAGATGATTAAAAAATGCTTCAGTCTTTTCCTTATTTGGATTTGTCCATACAAAGTTTTCCCCAACGTTGCCATTACCACCACAATTAGTTTCTTGTATTTTAAGAGGCCAGTTAGGCTCCGGTTTTCTTTTGAACCGGTTAACTATCCTCCATAGCTTATGCATCCTATAATGATCATTAGGATTGATATTATTAAAGATCTTGTTATTTATTTTGATTTTCTCTTCCTGCACAGATTTTGAAAATGTACGACTTGCTTGTTGGTAAATTCTTCGATTTTCTGGCGTAGGCCTAACCATGAAGTTTTGCTTGCTAATATTTTTCTGGTCTAGCTGCAGTTGAAGTCGCTGGCTAAGGATGATTTGTCCTGGTCGAAGGTTTGGGCGCGAGTTATTTTGGGACGCTGCCGCAGCCGCGCAGTAGATTTTATTATAAAGAGAATCAATAACAGGTTCGATATCATTTCCTGGTGAAATTTCTGTATTTAAGTGAATGGAATCAGATAGGATGCGTTGAAATTTTTTAACATTCGCCCTAGGTGGCAGGAGTCGACGGTTTTGAGCACCATTTTCAAAATGTCCTTCTACAGCCAGCTCAATAAAGATAGGAAGATGGTCAGATTGTAGATCTACTACTGAGTGAGTGCGAAACCTATCACTAGGTATACCTAGATAGACCGCAAAATTGATTGCAGATGGCATTTTCCTACTGTCGAAAGGGTAGTGAGTGGCACCCCCAGTTGCCAGTATGTTTATCTGATTATATGAATGAATTGAACGCAAGAGGTTCCTGCCTCTTGCACAGGATCGAACGCAGCCCCACCAGGGGTTTTTAGCATTCCAATCCCCGCATATGATGATTTTTGAGCTATTCGATAATTTCTTCATGTGAGCGAAGAACATGTTGAAGTGAACTTCTGACCATTTGTGCTGAGGTGGCAAGTAGACTGGAGCAACGACTATCTGTTCCCTATTAGCAGTTGTGATGAGTAACAGGCAACTTTGAATGCAGTCTTCCATTATGGGTTGTAGAGCAATATGTCTGAGGTTAGATTTTATAAAAACGGCTGTACCCCCACTCCTTTTAGTGGGGTGGGTGGCACTGTATAAAACATATCCATTAAGGTGGACCTCATTATTGGTGGTGGTAAGAGGGTCAAAGTTGCAATGTAGGCGAATTTCAGTAATAATCATAATATCTGAGTAATTTCTGGGATTTAGTATCACATTTCTGGCATTAGGCATGGCAAATTTCATTAACATTTATTTGCCCATTGGATGAGGCAATAAGGAGATTTACTAATTTAAAGAGGGCATCTACCTTCTTCCCCATTTCACTCACGGCTATCATGTTTTGCTGGACCAGCTGGAGCATTTCCTCAGTAGTAAGTGAGGGGGAGCCAGGGCTGGAACAGGTTTCCTTCAGCGATTTGGGTTTTTGATGGGGCTGCTGCCCGCGCAGCTGGTTGCCGCTCGTTGTAGGGGGAGACCTCGCACTGTTTTTCCTGCCGGGAGAAAAATTTTTAGGACGGGTTGAAAAAGGATTTTCCCTGAGGCTGCCCTGTTCCGCCTGTAGGCGGGCTTGAAAAACTTTTAGATGATTTTCCGCGGGGTTTTCCGTAGGGACCGTCCTTTGCAGATTTTTCTTGAGTATCTGACTGTAGGTAGCTTTGGAGGGGGTGCAGTGGAGGGGGTTACGAACTCGCGGAGACTCTACCGGGTATGTCCTGGTGCCACCTGAGTTTACCCTGAGAGTTTCCCGCCGCCTGTGCTCCATATTATTATTTTGAGGTACCGTATCCACGGCGACATGCGCACGGTGAGCCAAGAGTCGGGCCTGCGCTTTTTGTATTCCACGCAGCCCTTGTAACTGGCGACATGGCCCAGTCCACAGTTGGCACACTTGGGATTTGGTACCCTTACTTCTGAGCAATCTGTAGTAGCATGTGAACCCGCACATTTCATGCAGACAAAGTCCCTGCGGCAGTTTGCCTTTGTATGTTCGTACTTCTGGCAGCGGTGGCACATAGCGGGTTCAAGTCTCCTCAGCTGTCGCTCAACTTTCACAACTTGGTTTCCCAATCTAGTGATGCTGAGAACCTTGTCATTTCCATGATCAGCAGCAGGTGCTAGCTCAACCTCAAATAGGTCCAATGGTTTCCGGCTACGTCGATGTTTAATGTTGCTGATATACCGGACAGAGAAGCCCATACCAGTTAGCTGGCGGCGAATCTGGTCACAGGGAGTAGAGTGGTGGATTTGCCTAATTACCACCCTGTATCCACGCTCCGAGCGTCGCTGGAAGGTATGCGTCTGGCGTTTCTCCGCCTCCAATTTTGCCAAAACCTGTTGATAAGAAAGTAAATCCTTACACAAAAGTTTAATTCGGTTTCCTTTTAAGCAGGTTAAAGAATATTTATTCCAAAGTCCCTCGATGGTATTAAGAGACTCTACTAGTGGCTGGATTGAAGAAATATTGTGTAAAAATATGGCAGGGATTTTTTCCTCAGGTACAGGGGCATCTCCATGATCCGTAAGAGGTTGCTGGTTGTTGCCTTGGATTGTCTGGCAGGGGGCCAGGCTGTCTTCCTGTACGCTGGCCATGGTAATAGGCGTTTCCGTTACACTCTGGGCATCAATCTGTCTGCAGGGCATATCCTCAGCTACTTCAAAGATGTCCATAACTTCCCTCGTCGCCTTAGACGGGGTGCTGGATACCGGAACAGCACGGGAATGCTTAATA